GTTTGATTGACATTTGTCACCATTTTCTGACATTTTTTTGACTGAACAACTAAATGAAAATAACTGTTAGTCGTCTCCCTAGACCCGTCTGTGTAATGCAGTGCAGTACCACAAACGACATCCATCAAAATATTCATAAAGTCATCAGATAATCGTGAGAAATCTCAGTTTCCTGGAGCTCAAGCTGACGTCTTGACCAAACTCACATCAATCATATCATCTTGAGCTTCCAGACATTTGAGATTGTTGCTAAAAGTCAAAATTCTTGCAAATTAATTTTTAATGAGGAAGCTGAGCCAGCAGAATGAATAATTTTCACCCTGTTTCTTGACACACATGCTGCGTATGTGTCGATTTTGATTTCCAGGACGCTAACGAGATGTGAAACGTTTTTGATTCGGACTCGAAGCCGAGTGGGGGAATCATTTTTGCACATTTATATGCATGCAAAGATCGCCGCTGCAGCATCACAGATTTCCAGAAATCTTCTCGTGTGATCATCTGTACTGTGTGTGTGTGTGTGTGTGTGTGTGTGTGTGGACAGCAGCGTTACATAAGTCAGCAGTGCAGGTTTTATGCTGCATTGAGAATATAACTGAATCAAATCCCCTCCTCGCAGCGAGTAGCGTGCATGTGCATGTGTGTGTATTGATACATATCTGAGCAGACGGGTAGGAAGCTGTAAGCTGCTTAACCCTGCGCTGACTCAGGACACATGCAATTTCTCTGTTCCTTAAGAGAGAGAGAGACGCTACCATCAACATTTTTTGGTAAAAAAAAAAGATGCGAGTTATTGAGGATCAAACAGCCCGAAGATTTCAAAAAGACATCCCCTGCTCGAGCAGAAAAAAGGGATTCGGCTAAGAAGTCTTGGTGACAAGTGAGAAGCATCAGCATGGACAGAGACACGTTTGTCACCACTGAGGAGGAATTCTAACGTTCGTCTACATCTGACATCCAGTCATCCCGCATTAGAATCAAAGGGGATGTGTCACCAGCTTGGTTTGATGTGTAAACGCCACTGTAACTTCTGTTCAAACAGCTAATAAACCAAAATGACATTTTCTGACGTTTAAAGAGACAAAAAAATAAAAAATCCTCCCAGCTGCCAGATTCTTTCGTCTCTTTCAACAAATCTTGCAAAAGTTATTCACAAAAACTTGGGCAGCTGTGATTGGTGCCAGAGAACAGGTGCACCCGTTACTAATCCAATTATTTAGGCCCGAGTATCTGGTCACGGGCCACCTAAGCAGATCTCATGGTGCAGTCAATGGAAGAGGTATCAAAATGAAAGGACTTCTATTCTGTGTTTTTGCCGTCATGATGCTCACACATGCTCATGGTAAGCAGACTTTTCCAAAGCCTAAAACTCTTGTTATGGACCTTAAAGGAGTCTACGTGTGGTCAACCAGAGCATTTTCAGCACAATTGTGTGTTTATATTAAGTGTGGATCCAATACTGTGTGCTGTCCTTTATGATTTAGACTTTAGTCCAACAGCTGTGCATAAGAGTCGTACTTATTTTTGGTTTACAGTTAAAACAAAGTAGTAAATTGAAGCATTTATTAATTTATATCAAATTAAAAGCTGAACTGATTTGTAAAAATTCAACAGGGGTCTTTTGTTTTTTGTTATCTTGACATATTACATCCATGTTGTGTTACGCTAACAAACCCGTCGAGCAGGTTTATTCGCTACACCAAACTAAAACTAGCACTGTCCAGTACGTTTGAGCATCAGCCACTAGTTATTATTTAAACATCAGAAAAATGTGCGAATGTCAGTCTCTGTTTCTCAGAATACAAGGTGACCACTTCAGATTGTTTGAGTTGTTCACATTTTCAAATGTATGTGGTTTACTATAAGAAAAATCTTAAGATGTTGCCATTTGGAAACATTAAATGCTGATCAAAATAGCTGCTAACTAGATGTTGCAGCTCTACAATAAATTGCAGGACATTTCGAAGGATGTAATTTAGTCAAACCTCTTTAGTATAACATATAACGCAGCACATTTCAACATGCTACTTTAAACCCTCCGCAATTACTGTAAAGTGGAATCAACACCTCAGACGAAGGCCCTAATAGCCTTCATTAAGGAAGAATTTATTGCTTTGTTAGACTGCAGTCGACAAGGTGTGCCCCATAAACTGGCAAATGAGTAAAGGTTTAATCCGTGAGGTTATAAAAGCTAATGTTCTCGCTTCACAATGAACCCTGCATCTCTTTTGTTTGCTCATTCACCTGAGCTAGCAGCAGCTAATAAGATGAGAAGGGATCAGGGCTGCAACACATGTCAATGCCACGAGGAAGACTCCAGCCAGACATCCAGGACTACTTAGCACGCTTTCTTTACAGCTATTTGAAAACAAAACGATCGAGAAAAGCCTTTTTTGGTAATGAACATTTTTATAAAGTCTCCTCTCTGCTTGACAAGTCCCCGATCGGGGACACAAGTGGGATTATATTTCGGGCCTGAGCAGCAAAGCACAGCAGGAATCACTAAGGGATTGCCCCACTCTTGCATTATGTTCTCCTGCCCACATTTTCTATTAACTCCAGTATATCTGTGTGGTTAACGAAAACACGATGCTGCCCTAAGACTTGGAGCGCTCCCTGCAAATCATCCACTCAGAGAAACAAATTCCAGACTGCTGCAGAATAAACAAAACCTTACAGAGATGTTCAGCAGAATGTTGACTCATGGGTTTGCGCTCCAACACTTGACACATGCAGCACCTCCGAATAACAAACGTGTCAAACAGGCGATTACGCAGAAACGCCTCGGAGAGCATTTTAATCACGGCTGTTTTACGATGTTTAGAACTGTGTGTTTTCCGCTCTTATCCGTATGTTGGTCTTTTTAATGTCCTTATCTGTTTGTTCATCTGTTTAATGTGAAACCTTATACCAGGTCTCCCTCGCAACAGAGGTTTCCAGTTTCCTTATCTGCTTAATTCAAGTAGAATAAAATAAATAATTAAACATGTGCTTGGTTGTATTGGTTACTTCCGTGATGTACAGTTGATACTGTTCTGCACATTATTTACCTTTGTCTCCTTTAGTACTATGCTTTCAAAAGCTCTCAACATCAACACTCCAAGCAGTTTTTTTTCCTATCCAGTTTACATTTTTACTCACTGTGAGCTCATTTCTACTGCACATAAAGTCCTGTAACTTTATGGAAACCATGGCTAGAAGTAGAGAAAACTGAAAAAGGTCTTCGGTGCAGTATGGTAGCAAGTTTGCAATAATAATAAAAACAACGATAAGCTAAATTTATTACATTATTACATTTTTTTAAACAAATAAACCTTTTTCAAAATGCCTACAGGTGTTATCAATACTGGGGAAAAGAGGTTACGCTACGTGACATACTTAACTACCTACATTTATAGTTTCTTTACATTTGTTCCTTTCTGCTCTGTGAAAAACACAGCCTGCCTGCAGTTCAGCCGAATACTCCGAATTTTTTGTCACGTGACTGTTGATCGCAGCTGAGTCATGAATGGCTCCTCTATTGGGTTGAGGAATGCAGAATTATTTATTTTTTTTACAGAATTTATTTAGTGAGAAAGTTTAATTTCTGGTGATTTTAAAATGAGACAAGTGGGATAAAGTAATTTTGATGAAATATCATAATTCTAAGCTCAGAATTGATTATTTTCCCGATCTAACCGTACATCACACATGATTAGTTCAAACACTGCTGAAGGGTTGAAAATGCAATGATTGTTGCTGATTTTACAGTTTCTACTCAATAATGTCACTTCAGTGCATTTTTAAAAAAAGAATAAGTTGCCTTTCAACCTTCCGGTGGGTTTTGTAGTTCAGAGAGTTGGAGCTTCACTGTATCAAACTATTCTGTGGTATTTTTCTGGGCTCAGGTGAGGAAGAGGAGCAGCCGGAGCAGCTCATGGAGTCGGTGGGTTTAGAACAAGAGCAGCTGGGTCTGGAGTGTTTTCGCTGTGACCTTGGCTTCTGGGATGCTTGTTACACAACTGAAACCAACTGCAGCGTCGGGGAGCTCTGCTACACTGGCCGAGGAAAAGCAGGTGTGTTGAATTAGGCTACGAGTTCGGTCGGCCTATGTTTATGAGAAACGGTGTAAAGATTCATAAATCGTATTTTATGTACTGAATATGGTCATTACGTTATCTTCCTTGCAGCATCTCTGGATGTAAAGCTGCTGGGTTGTGTAAAGGCGGAGGAGTGCGGCGTGGAGACCACCGTGGAGCTCTTTCCTAACAACACCATCTATGTCATGACCAAACACTGCTGCGACACACCTTTCTGCAACTCGGCGCACAAACTTCCCATCTCCATCTTTTTATATCTCACTGCAGCTTTCTTAACCACCTGGCACATCACTGAGGCCTCGGCGGGATTATAATAAACAAACATTTATTTATTTTTGACAAAAGAAAGACTGTGAAGTGATGCTGAAAGGACTTCAACCATATGGTGAAGAAGAATCGCCAGCTTCACAGAATGTTTTGCTGACTCACAAACATGGAGACAATAGATAAATATGGCACGAATGATAGGAATGACAGGAATTTATTCATTAACGCGTTAGTTGAAAACAAATCTGGTTTGTTTCTGCTGCATAAACCTGTGCAACACATGTAGGCTAGTGAATGTTTTAGTGTTACTGTATGTATGACTTTACCTGCAGGTGAACCTCTCTGCAGGTAAAACGCTGCTTTCTTCCAGAACATGTAGGAACGAATGAACGCACTGACCACAGTTTAGCTCAGCTGCGGTTCAGCAGCTCTCCAGCAGAGGGCAGGAGCTCATCTTTCATGAAACCCTGCAGATCCAAATCTTTGTCGTCCAGATTGAGGCTCAGGAACTTTTCCACCACAGTGCTGCATCTGTCAAACAAACACACATCTGTCTATTTCACACACTGCTCTTTAATGTGGGGTTTTGTTCTGTGCAATTAAACTTCAACTCGCCTCTTCGCCTGCTCGTCTGATGACGCTTTGTCAGTGCGCTTGATGGGCCTTCCGGTCCTGTACAGCTCAGACACCTGAACAAACACAAAAACACAACCAGCCAATCTGTGCGTGTGCATCTCCCTGTGTGTATACTTGTGTGTGTGTGTCTGCGTGTGTGTGTTTACCTCCACTCCTCTCTGCACAAGGCAACTTGGCAGGCCTGCCAGTGTAGCGATATTGGCAGCATAGCTGGACTGGCAGATCCCAGCCTTCAGTTGGTACAGAAACACCAACTCATCTCCGTCCACTGCTGTCTCCAGGGTCTTACGCACACACAAACACGCACACATGCACAAAAACACTTAGTCATACTTACAAAATGAGGCGAAACAAATCTGAAGTGGAGTCTCATTATCTAACTGGTCATTTGGAAGTTTCTGCTGCAGCACATTAGTTTTACCATCATTAAGAAACGAATGCTTGAGGCTACGTTTTTTTCTCATTGTGTGAGCGTAGCCAGTACCAGCAGAGACAGCAGGCTGGAGGACGGCAGCAGGCCCAGCTGCAGCACACTGTGGAAGTTGGTAGCCAGCAGTACGTGAGGAACGTCCACCGGAGCCTTTCTGAGCCAGTGGGAGATCGATGCAGCCAGCAAGGACAGTCCATCCACCTGAAGGGGAACGCTACACTGTTGGCTGTGTTTCTGAGCAACAACGAAGCTGCTATTGATCTCCAGTCTTAAGCTCTTTACTCAACCCTTTGATTGCTCGACACTGGGTTGATGTCAGGAATAAAGCAATTAATAGGATCCTTTCTGCCTCTTAGTCAGCAGATAAACAGGTTGAATCATCAGATTAACTCCTCTTTCTGTGACCGAGCAACAGTACATAAAAAAAAACACTCAATTCAATTTACTTTTATTTATATAACAACAAGTCACAATAAAAATAATTTCAAGTTAGTTAAAACCAAACATGCTTGGAGTTTTCCATGCAAATTTTTGTAGGTTCTTAGTTTTTAAATTAGTCTGTTAATTTGTTTGGCTGTATTACACTAATATTTAAGTCAATCAGGTTAATTTGTATTGTATATAACATTATTGTTGTGTCTTAACATTAATATTAACACTTGCTGGGTACATGCGTCACACCGGTCTTATTTCTCTACTGGAAACCACTTTTGCTCAGTGGCTGTTGTAATAAAAGTGCAACATAAATATTGAAGACTTGACTTCTTCGATTTTATAACAAGAAATCCAACAAATTCAAATGATTCCACTTAAGCAGCCCTTTGGTAACAGTGGTAAGAAAAAAATAGCTTTTAACTGGAAGAAAGCTCCGGCAGAACCAGGCTGTGGGGGGCAGATATCGGCCTCGACTGGCTGGGATGAGGGTAAAGTGGAAATAGAGAAACAACTACCAACAATTAGTGCGAAAGTGTCACAGGTAAGTAATCTATTGCTGACAGAAATAATACCAGTAATCAATATTTAGTAATTAGTCATTCTGATTCTAATCAAAAAGTCTATGTTTGACACTTCTTGGTCTTTTTTTAATTGTTTGACCACGTCTACACATACCGACCTGAACAGCCTATAAGAACGTAAACCCACAGTGGCAGCAGTTTGCATCTGCAGACCTCTTTGGGGGGGAATTTTGTGATCATTCTTCTTGTGTACAAAGATAGACAGAAAATGTGTGGAAAGACAGAGTTTGACATGCAACAAAAGAATCAGTCCTTGCACTTGTGCCGCCTGGGTGGTGCAGCTTTCTTTCTCATGGTATGTTTATATGAAAACTAACTTTTGGCCATTTGTGTGCAGCAGAAACAAACTGAACAAGACATTGAAATACCGTCACCTCGTACGATGATATGGGGAAGTTGTTAAAAAAAACGTATTCACACATCTGGCAGCTACTTTGGTAATATTTAATATTCACTCTCTTTTAGCTCTGACTTTGGTCTCTACCAACTCTTGAGGGAAATATCTGACTGTTTAGTTGTTAAACGTTCCATTATGTTCACCAGCTCGTAATCCATATCAGCTGCCTGGTGTGGCTGAAAACGATGCCATGAAAGTCGTGAGAGTAAACCGAAACAGTGCAGTTGTGGCGAGACCGTTCAAAAATCAGCTGAAACTTGTTACGACGCTGCGTGAGGCTGAGGAGAGCTGCAGATTTGGGTTGTGACTCCTCATTACAATGCTCGACCCTTTTTCCTTTGTTATTATAAAAACATTGATTGTAAACACTCTAAGTTCTTGTATTAACATGTATGAACCATGCCCAGCTGGAACACTCTACATTGGTAATTTCCTCTTATTGTTTCTTTTGCTTTCTAACTCCCACATCTCTATTTGTTCTTTAGAATAACATAATTGGTTTGGACCTTCTCTGTCCCTCTCCAGAGTAACCTGGCAGACAGAGATGGATGAAGTCAAAGCTTCTCTCTTCTGCTCTTCCCAGTATTAAGTCCCATATGTCCCAGTGACGACAGCAATATAAATATATACATACAGTTAAACCCCAAATTATTCATACACATGTCAAATTTAGATTTATTATGAATTTTATATTTGACCAATAGGTTTGTTCTGACTGGAAATTACACAAACAAGCAACAAAAGACAGAAAGACTGTGGTGGAGGTGTTAGTGATAGATTTAGCTATTTCATTTTTATTAAAATTCAATGTCCAAAATCATCTCAGCAATCAGTGACAAAGTCTTGATTTTTCTCCACACCAGTCCAACAGCTGTTCTAGTTGCTAACAGTCTTTCTGCATGTCTCCACTACAATTTCATTCTTCTTTGTGGACATTGAAAACACACTTTATAGCCTTTAAATGTTTTGTGAGCAGCAGCAAAGTGCAGATTGTAACCTATCATCATATCTCTAACACAGTGTCATGTTTTTGTCACTTGTTTATGTCATTTCCAGCCAGAAAAAAAACTAGCAGTCAAATATTAATTCACTACAAAACAACACATGAATAATTTCGGCTTAACTGCATGGAAAGCAGGGCTGCAAGGTGACGCTGTGGTTAGCAC